GAGGAAGTTGCTTGGGCAACCATACTCGAAATCCAAGCCAAGCCTCCCTTAGACAACGTAGGCTCTGGACTCTGGACAATGCCGAACACGTTCATCCAGGTTCCCCGCTACTCGCTTGTGTACCTATTCACCATGAGGTGAAGAACACGAAGAACACCTACATCACAAGGCAGGTGACAAGGGACTAGAACCCATCGCCTTCGAAAGTTGCCGCGAAACTTGCAGCACTGTCGGGCAATTGTTGGTCCATGGCGACATGTTGGGAGGACCCCAGGACCCCCAGTTTTATGAAGCTGTTTGGAAACCTCTAGGAAACAAGTCAACCTGATACAAATGCTATATGTGGAATGTTTTTGAGAAGGAACGCTCTTGAACCTGTATGGAAGGCTGCATTCCCATCTCTACTAGCCCTCAAGTACAGCAAGTGGGTTTTTGATTATGGCAAATGCAGGCCATATGCTTTTGGCATTGAGCGCTGTTGTGCTGGCTGCTGACCATTGTTCTGAGCATCCGGCTCCATGAAGGTATGTACCTAACGCATGTTCGAGCAGTTCGCACAAACATTTCTCAACCCTCGTCACAGCTCCTTGTACCTCGCGTGGTCATTGGTTGTCTAGTTTGAGTTGATGATGGATAGGGCTAACCCAATAAGGTTGAAATGAGTCCACACAAAATCCAGGTGTTCATCACAGTCTGGGAAAAGGATTGGTGCCCAGAGGAAGAACTTGTCCACAAGTATAGAGGAATTTAGAGATTTTTCTTTTTCAACAGTGGCAGTGTTGTTTCTTCGACTTTAGTTCACATTCTGTGTCTTGCCTTCAATCTTGGTGTTTGCTAGTGACGGGTAATGGCGTTTGTAAAAGGAACCCACATCCAATAAACTTGGAACGATTCCGAGAAGACCAGCATGGCCCCTGTTCAAGGCCCCGCACAAATAGATACGTGTACCAAGCTTGTTTTTTTTGCCTTGGATTCGCTTCCGCGATCATCCGATATTGTGGCAGCCACAAAAGAAGATTAGCGTGGCCCCTGCGCAGGGATGAAACACACACACACACACACAAATCAGGAAGTGTAACAAAGTTGCTTGGCACAAACCGCTTTGCAGTTGTCCTGTGGATTTTCGTTTGCGGGATTCCCCTTGAAATCTGAATCAACAATTTTGGCAACCCCACATTCGCCTTATTTAAGGTAGGTGTTGGGTTGCTTAGCTTTGCTAGTTGCACTTTGCTCAATCGCCGAGGAACCCGACCCGCCAAACCCAGGGAACAAAGTTGGTGCCCACAAATACTAGCTTCAGTCTAAAACGTTTCTTGCGCGGCACTCCAGGTTTGTCTTACTTGGCCTCTATGTGGACAAGTGCATGTGCAGAGCCAGCAAGTGATCAAAGCTCACAGGGCAGCAGTGAACGGGAAAGGACGGGATCAAGACTTATTTGACTGTCAATATTGGGAACCCTTTGCCACTTTTTGCTATATCTAGACATGAAATGCACCACTTGGCATCATATCTATCACACCTGCAGTTTGTAGCTTGCTCTGTCACGAGTGCAAGGGCTTCAGCACACAGACACTGGCACATGACCCCGAGAGCCGCTGTGAGCAATCCATAGCAATCCTTTCCATCGGCTCACCCATGTCAAACAAGCAACATCGACTCGCTTTTGAAACAGGCAACATCGCTGACCCCGATTCCCACACCCGGCGCACCGAGGATGTTGGCCGTCTCTGACACTTGTTGAACCTCTGATGCTTGCGTGAAGTCACCGCGCCAAATTTCAGAATGTTATAGGCTCGACCATACCTTGTCTTGTGTTTGTTTCAAATCAACACATGCGGATGTATTTGACAGTGACATACTTGCCGATCAAGTATTTTGCACACTTGAGCGCTATGGTCCATTGCAAGACTGACAGCATCCTTCCCTCACCAGATCCTTCTGAGGCTCCGTATTTGCCAGCACTGGCGCAAAGGAGGACATCTTGACAGCTTCGCGTCTGAACATTTCACAAAAGACACATGGGTGGAGGGGAATGCCTTTCTGACAGTTGTCCTTGGGGTTCCTTTTGCCTTGTTTGAGCACAGCAACCACAAAAAATATTGATTCACTTGGTCACCTTCTGTTTGCTCAAGCCCCGCACGTCGGGCCATCTCCCGACCGGGAATGCTCGTCCCAAAAGAAGCTGGGAATGAACATATGTGCCTCTCATTCCATAAACCCTTTGAAAGTGCAAGCCAAACTGAACGAAGGTTGTTGGCGCTTCGCGTGTTTTCCATGGTCCTACCAAACGCTTGCTGAGCTTGGCACCGTCTCCTGCACGGAATCGATCATTTTCGGGTCCTGTGTGGAGTCGCCCGCTGTCAGCTCAAGCTGGGTAGCCATTTTGCTGCCATGCTTTGGTGTGGATTGAGTTTGGGGACAACGCAGCAGCGGCCAGCAAGCCTGAGAACATTCTTGCCGCTGAGGCCCAGCTAGGACTCTTGGAGTGGGTTTCGACTGCAAAGTTGCACGAGAAGCCTTGTGGACCGGCAAACCTGATCCGGACCAAAGGCCAAATAATACATTGGCGAAGTGCAAGGGTTCATGTGGCAAGCAGCACGTAGCATAGCATTCCCGCCAAATTGGCTCCTCACAGGGTTCCACGTATGCAACGTGGAAGAATGTGGAAGCCCATGTAAACTTGGCATTGGCAACGCGATGCTGATTCCTCCCTTGCACGGGGACACCTGGCCTCTCCGGGCCCCGGCGCCCGCACGGGAGAGGACTCCTGCGGTTGACCAATGCCAAAATAACAAAGCCTTTGGGAGGGCTCCCGAATTTCAGATACCAATTTGGGCCTGTTTCACAACACAGGAACCGCATGGAATAGTGGCATTCACTTTGATTTCCCTCTAAACAAACCAACAAAAGGAAACCCTGCAGAAAAGCACGCCCACTTGTTCAGAGAAGCTATTGGGACCCTGAGTGGGTGCGTGCACAAGCTGGCCGGCCAGAAGGTCAGCTGGGCCAATGGATGGAGCAAAGCCTTCCGGGCTAAGGGGGCAACGCATGTAACATGGCCAAGTTGTGAAATGATTTGGACCCACCTCATGGTTTGGTTTTGGGTTCCCTGCACAACCACCAAACTGGAGCAGCTTTGAATCCTCCTACATATCTGGCTATACACACTGGAAGCTGTCATCGTGGAAGCTGTCAGCAAAAATTCTAGGGAGGGTGCACATGTTTCTACAAAGGCCATTTGGCAGACAGTGCAATGATGTTCCAAAATCGGGAATCTCACACTCACAACCCGCGACCAATGGATTCGGTGAAGGGTATAGTTGGAGGTCTCAGCAGGCAAGCTGTCACATGGATCATGTGAAGATGACCCCAAATGGGACACCGCATAATACAAGGCAGTCGCAGGTTTCCAACGAGGGCCTTTAACAGTTGCTTCCACATCAACAGCCCTGTGATGTCAGCCACCCAATTTGTATGCTGAAGCATGTCAAAGCTAAGGTTACATGTTTGTGCTGTATCAATCAACTGGCCGTGGTCTTGCAGCTTCCGGTCAGACTGCATGTGGGTAAGCCTCAAAAATCTGTCACGCAGTAAACCGTGCTACGACTATTCATGTTTCTTGAAAGGGGATTTGTTCGGCCACTCATAGGGCAAGCCACATGCAATTTGCCAATGAACAAAGCAGCACTTCTCGGGTGTTCACCAGAGGCAGACATATATAATTTTACTCAGCCATCTCAGCCTCGCAACAACCATGCCAAAAACACCTTTAATCAGGGTTTTTTGCTGTACCCACACGGCCCACACGTTTGGAAAACAAATAGACTTGTGGATTGGCAGCTGGACGTGCTGGAGCATCCGCCTTCCAGGTAGTCTGCCATCAAATAGATTGCCCAAATGCCCCAACTTTCCTCGCTGTCTTCATGCCCTGCTTTGCCTGTCCCACGCGAGCCTCCATGCTGATCTCTGAGAGGCTGCGGAACTCAGACCTAAGGCAAAACCATCGGCGAAGCCCTCGATCTGAACACCACTCAGCTGATGACGAATCCTCTTACAAGAGTTTGACCTGCCCAGCACCCTTGACTCTTGAACAAAGGTCGTGTGCATAAACATTTTTTTCCGGCCTCACATGCTCAGATCTTGCCAATAAAGAGCAGTCAGTCTGTAAAACATAGCGAGAAACTTCAGTCTTGAATTGCTTGTTGGACATGCATATTAAGTCCATGCCATGCCATGCCAACCACCACCCACCCACCCACCCACCCACCCACCCACCCACCCAGCCAGCCAGCCAGCCAGCCAGCCAGCCAGCCAGCCAGCCAGCCAGCCAGCCAGCCAGCCAGCCAGCCAGCCAGCCAGCCAGCCAGCCAGCCAGCCAGCCAGCCAGCCAGCCAGCCAGCCAGCCAGCCAGCCAGCCAGCCACAGGCAGGCAGGCAGGCAGGCAGGCAGGCAGGCAGGCAGGCAGGCAGGCAGGGCAGGGCAGGGCAGGGCAGGGCAGGGCAGGGCAGGGCAGGGCAGGGCAGGGCAGGCAGGCAGGCAGGCAGGCAGGCAGGCAGGCAGGCAGGCAGGCAGGCAGGCAGGCAGGCAGGCAGGCAGCAGCAACAAAGCATCTATCCAGTAACTCTGTGCAGCTTTTGGCTACAGCGGCCCTGTCTGGTTACATTTATCCATGGCGCCTTGTGAGTCTTCACAGACGACACCAAGCCATGTTTTTGTTGCAGTGGGCCGCGTGCGGCGATCCACCATATAGCCTGACAGCCTTGTCAGGCGGAAGACAAACAATTTACCCGAACAAGTTCACGTGAGCGCCCCATGGCTCGGTCTGGCCTGAAGATCAAGGCTGGCAACCCGAGCTGAACAAGCAAGTCACGGGGCCCTCTTGAAATGGATCACGTCACTCCCTGGTGCAAGCATGGCTGAGTCGTCCAAGGCCGTTAGATGTGTGGGACAAACAGCCTGAGAGGCTACGCTTTGATGGGTCATGGGGCATTGCAGAAGAT